TTGCATCTGATAATCAATGCGGAAAACTTTATTTAAAAACTAAATAAAATCAAAAATAAGTATTAAAAATTAAAAATGCAAACCAAAGGTCGGGATGTCTCTTGCCAAGCGCTTGTTTCTGTGAAGTCATGAGCCAGAACCACCCCTCACTTAAGTAATTGTTGGGTTTTATTAGTATCAATACACTTAATCATGGTAGCCAAAACAATAAAAAATTACCTAAGTACATGCCACCTAATATCTATGTTTTACTAGTTATAGCAACATACTACCAAAACGAATTAAAGGAAGAATACTAACCTCTTGTTGTTTCTTTGATTTGGACCTTGTGAATGCCATAACATTTAGTGGGTGAAGGACCCAAAGTAGAATCCCTATAATGTTGTCAACTTAAAAAATCCAAAAGTTAATAAGGAAAAACCCTTGGGAGGTTTAATTGAAAATCACTAACCATATGAGAATTTTTATGATTTACGTCTTCTAAAGAGAGGGTGAGAGGTGGATGAATTTTATAGAGGGAATTAGCAGATAGGGTTTGACCTATAACAGTCTATTTATAGGTAACAAATAAATCCTTAAGAGATTCAAACTCTTAAGGATAATCTTTATATTATTCGAAAGCCATCGTATCCTTATTAGAGCATTCCAAAACTATCAATTCCTAGTCTCTATGAGCTTCTAGTATATTCTAATTAATCTCTATGAATAAATCAACATTCAAGATATTTCATTAGTGAAAAATATATATTTAATTTCCAAAATAATTTCCAATTGATTTGTTAATTTATTGGGTTATAATGTGTTGTATCAATTGTTTTATACTTAATAGTCTTATTTATTAACATTTTGAGCCTGTCCATCCATATTTATGGTGCCAGGGTTAGACTATTTAAGTAGCATCCATGCATCTTCTTAGGGTTAACAGATTGTAATCGTTTTGGTATGGCCCTACATTTTCTTCACATTAACGTTCTTTTTGAACTCTTCTAAGGCATTGATTACAAAGCATTCAACACACATTCAATCTCTTTTCTTACTGTTTGATTCAATATTCTGTTTGGAATCTATCGATCTATAATTTTTTTTTGTTTCATCAATTGGTATCAGAACAGGAGACTGTTTAATACATACACAAATCTTCTCTCGAGTATTATTATGGTTTTGAGTTTTTGGTGGATCTGTTCTTGTCATCTTCATCGTTTTCATCGATTCTAAACGTTAGATCAGGGTCCTTGTTTTGCCCTAAACTCGATTATCTTTTTACACATATGATTCTAAACAGGTTTTTATGAATCATCATCATGCAACCGAAAGATCCTCATACTCTTTCGTTCGATCTATCCAGCATAATCAGATCTACTACCAGAATTCCAATCCTTTTTCCGCAAGATTATGAAGTATGGGCGTTGCACTTCGGAGGCTACATTCTTGGTATTGAAGATCATGGTACTTTAGTATGGGAAGCCATGACCCAACAAATGTTCTTTCATATTGGTACAAGGAGGATCATTAAGACTCAAGCCGAATACACCACTCTTCTTGTTGACATTAAAGTTACTCATCAATATGAAAAAGACAAGCTTTTAAGCAATGCCAAGGCGATGAGAATAATCAGGTTCGATCTTCCTCCATACACATTTTGTCTAGTAAGTTCTTGTGATACAGCAAAGGAGATATGGGATACATTAAAAGAGCTTTACTCAAGAGATGCAAATCTAGAACACTAATTTCAAACATTACTTCTTTCTGAGTTTGATGCTTTTGCTCAGAAGTCTGATGAAAAGCTTGATCAGACCTTCAAACGTTTTAACCATCTTTTAAGCAGGATGCTTAAACATAATCTTAAGAGTGAAAAGATTGAGCAAAACGTTACTTTATGAATGGATTAAGGCCTGAATGGAAAGTAGTTGTATCCACAGTTAAAGCTCATGAATAGTTCAAGAGCTATATTGATGTGTATTTAATGTGTATATATATTTGTTCAAGTTTCAAATTGATAAAACTAATGTTTGTTTCACTAGACTATTAAACACAGTAGGCAGTGTACCTAATAGTATAATAGTATAGCTATGGTAAGAACAAGTGTCGAACTCCAGGAATGGTGTTTTGGCTAACTTTATTCCACTATTTACTACTTACTAATAAAATTAGAAAAGGTTTTGTTTTACTTGTTTTGTAAGACTAGATACTTAAATTACCAATTAACTAATTATCAATTAATTAATCTAAAACTAAACTAAGGCAAGATAACAACGATGAATTTACTAATGTGAGTAAGAGACTTTCGTTTAGCTTCAGATTTACTTGTTATTATGGTTGATTTATGGAAGTGCAATGGATTTTAGTTTCCTTAGTTATCAATTCCTAAAATGACCAAATTAGTATTCACTAATTTAATTCTTTAGAAAACGAGCTTATTTATTCGGTGATCAAGCGGACAAACTTACAAGCTTACTAGTATTCGGTTCGAATTGATTAGACTTATAGCTGATTGATCAATTAAGTTTATTAATTTAATTCAATATATTATTTGTCGTCATATATTAGCTCCTACACCTTTTTACCCACTTTTCTACTTAACCCTAGGTTTTGTTCACAACTCTAGTCCTATAATTTTGCAATTCGCAAGATCATAAGATTCAAATTCAATTAAGGAAGATAGTCATGCTAAATTAATCAAATTCAACAATAAATAGAGAAAATAGTTATCAAAAGTACTTGAGGTTCTTTAATAAGCAAAATCAACAAATAACCAAATAACTAAATCCAATTCATAAATTCAACCATAATTAAACAATCAATGCTGGGCTAAACGAAAGTCACGAGTATTTAGCTCATGATTTCAGCAAACAAAAACACAAAATTGAAATTCAAAGGGTTTGACATGGTAGAAACTAATTAAAAATCAAAGTGTAGAGATTGGTTGCCTTAATTCTTCTATTTCCAATGGTATGATCCAATTCCTTGCTTCCAAGCCTTAGAACAGGTGCTTCTCCTTCAAATTTGCTGATTCTTTCTAGAGCCAAAAGTCCCAATTCGGAGGAGAATGAGATCTATTTATAGTTTTCCCGAATTCAGATCACCACGATGTGGTAAGGCCATCATGTCGTGGTCTTCGTGTTTATCCCGTGGTCTACAAGTCTTCGAAGAAAATCGGGATTCTTCAAGTTGCCATGCTATGGTAAATCCACCACGATGTGTTGGGTATATTTTCATCATTTTAAAGCTTTAATTCATACTTCCAACTCCCAAGTCCAGCTTCCAGCTTCCAGCTTCCTTTTTTCTCCAAGCATGTCTTTTATCCTTACAACATAATGTTGGATTAGTGTCTAAGTCCATAACTATAATTGGTATGTACTTGACCCGACTCGACATGGTCTATTTGGGTTACATGGCATCGAAACATTTGGATAGACCGTTTGTGAGAAGAGGACATCTGTGACATATTAATATATTATAAGTTCTAATATATTAATATGAAATCATGTTATTTAATTAGTGTTGATCAAGATTTAATTTGGACTTAATTTAGTGATCAAAAGAGACTAATTAAATATATGGGGATTGATTATGTAAAACATTCTTTCTTATATATGTGGGCTTATGATCCATGATTCCTTATGTTGGGTTTAACTAATGTGGTGACCCATGGATACTCCATGGAGATTAAAACCCATGGAGCATAAGGAATGGGTAAAGTCATGGGTTACATGGTGTAATCCTAATGTGCACACTATATAAGGACTCCTTTAACTCAAGAAATTGGCACTAATGATACATATATGAGGGCTAGCTGGTTTGAGCATGAAGTGTCTTCTTCTCATGGTTATTCCAAGTGTTGATGATGTTGTGTGAACCATTTGAGGTGTCACACTTGGGACACTAAGCTCTCGAGCATCATGGAGTCAAGCTACATCAAGAGGTATGTATTCTAACTTTTTATATTACCGAAGTATCAAAAGATTGTATGCTAGATAGGGTAATACCTTGGAATATTCATATTTGCATGTATAATAGAGAAAACATAGATCCAAGGTATTTAGGGTTGCATGTACACCATAGGAGTGTTAGAATGCTCAAATCCTAACACATAATTCATAACAAATTAAGTGTATTTTGTTCTAATAAGGGCATAAAAGTAATTAAAATATCAAGTTATGATGTATAATTATGTGTATAAATATACACATAACTAAATACCCAACACTTATTCTTTTCTTTCCATCAAGCAAATTGATTTCTTATTTTACCCGCAAAGTACAAAACAATCCATTTCAAATCCAACCATTATCCCAAGACCTCAATGCATGTATTTGTATCGATAATCCCTAAAACTTTTCACTCCTAAATACTCACAATACTTATGAACCTTAATCCCTTAACTTATGCGACACTCATTCTTGCGACCCCCCGAATCAATCCTTAGAAATCTTCCTTACCCTCAAAGTATTTTTGGCTAAATAACCAAGAAAACATAAATTCTAGAAATTACAACTTTGATACCACAATGGAGCTCTTTGAATTCTTAATTTTCTTTGTATATTTGATCTTTGATTTCTTTGAATTCACCACTTTTTCTGTTTGGTTTTTGATTTCCTCAACTTGTTGGGTTTCTCCAGAATTTTGATCTTTGAATTTCATAATTTGACTACTCCAAAACTCTTGAACTTTTTGGTAATTTCTCTCTTTTTTTTCACATGTATCTCATTTTTTTTTTCACTCAAGCAATGAGCTTAGCTTCAACCTTTAGTAATTTGACTACCCCCTATCCCACACTTATTTCATGCAATATAATATACCCCCTATCCCACACTTATTTCATGCAATGTTCTCATTTCAAGTTATGAAAAACATAAAAATTAAAAAGAGGGAGAAAAATGAACAGACTCTCCCGGGTAGAAGATGCATCTAGAACCATGTGGAAATGTGTAGATTAGCCCAGTTGCTTGAAAGTGTGAAATGGAATTGGACAATATAATGAAAGCCTCCTTATGCAATGAACAACTCCCCCATGACATAGGAACATGTCAACCATGTCATGTAAGCCAGGATAATACTTCTTTATCGCGTTAAAATAAATTCTACGATGTGGGAACAAATCATCCATACCATGAGAATGAATATAAAATTAGAAACACCAGTATTGAACACCTAGACTTCTAAAAGTACGGGATCAACTTGAAAATAGACTCGGAAAGCACCACCTCGTGGTGCACCAAACAGAATGTGATGTTGGCTTTTTTTACTGTGACACTACGACGTGGTGGTCAAAAAATGGCAACTAAGTGTGTTAGAATCGACTGATTTCTGGAATATTTTTGGCACCAAGTAATGTATGAAGCTT